CATATAATTGTCAAAAACTTGCTTATTTATTTAGGCGCTATGCTAGATGCTAGGAAAAAGAAAATGCTCCCTGCTTTCAAGGAACTCAATTCTATTTGGGAAAACAGACAAAAACTATAACCCTGAAGTGTGATGAGTATCCTGGTTCAGAGGCCTCTGTAGGAGTACATTCCTAAATATAACTTTTTTTTACATATCTTAAAAGTAAATTTATAAATTTGGAAGGATAACCATCAGATAGTCTTTTAATACAACTCAGGAATTACCACAGGCTGTTAAATAAAACAGTAAAGTACAGGGACAAATAAGTTTAGCCTGTTACCAGGAGAGTAATCTTTTAGTAGGAGGCTATAGTTATCCCATTCAGAAGGAGCTTCTACAAACTTCAAACAAAGAACTTGCTTAGCCTATTTATTTCCTAAAGAAATTTGTTTGTTTCTTACTAAATGATTTAAAAGTCTTAGAGAGTGAAACGAGCTTAATTTTTCAACAAAACTAGACAGATTCCTTTTGACTGCTTATTGTTCTTATAACTCTTAAAGTGATACGGCTTAGAAAATACTGTTTTAAATTTTTAATCACAAGCCGACTGTGTTCTCTAAAGAGAAAATTATGTTAGGGAGAAGAGAATCTCCTTGAGGGTTGGTCTTCTGATTCCTGGATTGGTGTTGCCTAGATACAAGTGTTAACTCTAGATGTCAGAATTGCTACAACACACTGATACTGTTTATCTTCACAATCAATTCTAGGGAGCCCAGATTCTACTTCTCCTTCCAGCAGTCCTACTTTCTGGAACTACAGTCGTTCTATGGGGGATTATGCACAAACTTTAAAGAAGTTTCAGTATCAGCTTGCCTGTAGGTCTCAGGCCCCATGTGCTAACAAAGATGAAGCCGATCTCAGCTCTAAACAAGCTGCAGAAGAGGTAAGTGGAAAATAAAAGTGACTTAATATTTATGATTTATGCATTGCTAGAAAGTGTTCTACTTCTGGAACATATTTTCTGTAATCCATTCTGTTGGACAGAAATATAAATCTGGCACACATTAAGCAGTGGGAAAGCTCCTGTCTTACTTTGTGTACCTAAAACTAAAAACTAAATTATATCATACATTTTACTCTATGACACACAGTTCACCTTAGTGCCCTGCCTGAAACATATTTTTACATTGATTATAAAAAGGCTCTCAGGTATATAATTGTACTTAACACATACAGAAGTCTTGCTCTTAAAATATATTTGGATTAGAACATTTGTCAGTAATTTCATCACTTTAATACCAAATATGGAATTTTTATTTTGTTCTTAAAAGCAAGAAAAATGGGCTGGGTGTGGTGGCTCACGCCTGTAATCCCAGTACTTTGGGAGTGCAAGGCGGGTGGATCACTAGGTCAGGAGATAGAGACCGTCTGGCCAACATGGTAAAAACCCTGTCTCTACTGAAAATTCAAAGATTAGCCCAGCATGGTGGCATGCACCTGTAGTCCCAGCTATTGAGTAGGCTTAGGCAGGAGGATCACTTGAACCTGGGAGGCAGAGGTTGCAGTGAGCCGAGATTGCGTCACTGAACTCCAGCCTGGGCAACAGATGGAGACTCCATCTCAAAAAAAAAAAAAAGCAAGAAAAAGTTCTTTACGCATACCAATGTAAGGAACTTTTAAAGATAAATCTGTGTGTGAACAGCGTTTATAAGTGAGTAATAAGAAAATTACTGAATATTAATTAGATGAATATTGATGTTTGGGAAATTTTTTTTTCCTAAATTGATTAAACATTTTTAGGATGGGAGAAAGAATGATGATTTCTAGCAAGATTTTTCCTCACTGATTGTTCATTTTAAACATGAATTGTTATAGGTTTGGGCAAGAGTGGCTATGAATAGACAACTTCTTGATCATATGGATTCATGGACAGCTAAATTTAGAAATGTAAGTTCTGACGTTACTTTTTGGACAATATTAGTGCCTCTTAATATGCAAAGCATGTTATTGGAATATCATTTAGAATTTATTATAAATTAGAATATTACAGTTATAAAGGTACAGTATAAATGGTACATATGTAAGGATAAACATGACTGTTACTGTATGGTATTTATTTTCATGAGATTTTTTTCTTCCTCCATATTTAGTGAATTGATATGTTTTGAGAAGATAAAGAAATAATATGTTTAGTTATTAAGATCCTCCCGTTTCCAGTTCTCAATTTTATTTTCCAAAGAGCTTTTCTATTGGAGCCTTTTACGTACCTAGAATTGTGAGGGGAAACAAAAATGAGGCCCTTGCCCTCAGAAAACTTAAAGAGTTAGATAAGACAATGTATGCTTGAAGCTATTTCAGAGTAGATTGTAATTTCTGTTTTTCTAGAGAAGAACCCTCTAATCTTGGGCCAGCTTTTGCATATACAGAGTGAGTTAGTTCCCTATTTCCAACTCCATGTCTTCCTCCCACCTTCTCTAGTACCTGTATGTCCTGGATTCTGTTAGGCGTATGGACTTCCCCTTCCATTATATGGAGCTCCACTTAGCTTCCGAAGGGGCTGCTACTTCTGTTGTTTCATCCTTCAACACTCATCCATCCACTCTGCATCTTCTAGAACTATTTTGAAATTACTTGTGCTCGTTCTTTTATCCTTTTACTGTTATTTAAATAGGGTATCAAAATAGAGGGGCAAAAACTGGTTCTACTTTCTTGAACCAGAAACCCGGATGGCATTTTACAGATAGTTCCTGAACCCAATCCTAGACCTACTCAATTAGAATTTATAAGGGTGAGGCCTAGACCTCTCTCTGGGATACGTTAGATGATTTCGTTACCGCCAAAGAGTGGCTGGCAAATTAAGATGCATGTAGTAAATGTTGGAAGAATAAATGAGTGAAATCATCTCCTGGAACTGGAGTTTGTTGTAGTTTCTGTTATAGGCTAGTCTAAAAATGCTAACATGTTTAAAATATGAAGTCTTAGTCAGACGGAGTATTAGCTACTTAGAAGAAATGCAAATACATTTCCTCATCTGAAGTCCCTAGGCTACCATGTGCTATGAAATGTAGAGTTTTTGGATTTTTTTTTAAAGCAATACATTTATACCTGTACAGTATATTTTATAACACCAGAGTCTAGTTAACACCCAGTAATCAACCACATTAATACTTATGCAGAAAAACATAGGAATAATCACACTCAATGGGATAAAGCCTGTAAATAGCTTCATGTGAATTCAGTTCAAGTCTTGCCAGTGGATCGAAATTTGCTTCCTTACATGGATTACAAAAAATCTTTTTAATTCCCAGAAGGTTTTTATTTCAGTTGTTTATATCGTATTTCATCGGAAACATTTTTTCATTATTTTATGGATAAACAAAAGCATGGAAACAGAAGTGGTAACTGAAGTTGCTACAAACACACACACAAAATAACAACACACAAATCAGATGGGATGTATCCTTAGACAATCTTTTCACATCCCAGCGTTAGTTTATATTAGCCATGGAAGAGGCATTTGAAAGTCCCAGTCCTAAAGTAATATTGTAATATTCAAATATTCACAAGCCAGTTTGAAATGTAATAAGTCTCTGTTTTTCCACGTGGCTAGGGAATTGGGTGAGCCTGCTGAGAGTTAAGCAGTTATGTTAGTTTGAAAAACTGTCTTACTGATTGCAAACCAGTATAAACACTACATTAATAAATGTGTGAATAGCTACCCTACAAATGTAAACTGAAGATTATCCTTTTAGCTAAACATAATAATCAGAAAATTTTAAGAAAAATTTAACATATAGCTAAGTTTTTGTTTTTTTTTTTTTTCATGGAAAAAACATGTTATTTAAGAATGTAATTTAGTTGCTGGGCGCAGTAGCTCATGCCTGTAATCTCAACACTTTGGGAGGCCAAGGCAGGCGGATCATCTGAGGTCAGGAGTCCAAGACCAGCCTGGCCAACATGGTGAAACCCCGTCTCTACTAAAAATACAAAAAATTAACTGGACGTGGTGGCAGGTGCCTGTAATCCCAACTGCTCAGGAGGCTGAGGCAGGAGAATCCCTTGAACCTGGGAGGCGGAGGTTGCAGTGAGCTGAGATCGCGCCATTGCGCTCCAGCCTGGGCAACAAGAGCGAAACTCCGTCTCAAAAAAATAAAAAGGAATGTAATTTAGTTAATTTACACTCCA